CTCTCTCTCTCTCTCTCTCTCTCTCTCTCTCTCTCTCTCTCTTGCATTGTGTTTTTATAATCATTTAGTCATATACCATAACTATCTACAATAACATATACTCAATATTTACTCTTTATGTACATATACCAGTATTGACTCTCTACGCATACAATTATGTAAACGTTTTGTATGACTATAAACACTGCATTATTCTATATAACAATATATATAGTATATTTTCGTATTTGAATGCATTTATAAATTCAATTATTGACATATATGCATTTTACTGCTTCGAGTTTGTTAATGTGATTTGCATTTGTTCTGTAAACTGTTTTTCCTCAGAGTATTTTTTTAAAAACCAAACACTTCCACTACTGACTTGTTAGCATTACGTGATAAGCATATGTTTTATTTGTAGGCGTGGGGATGAATGGCGAGATCTTGATCATTTACAACGTGTCCCGATACTGTGACGGTATCTACGAATGTATGGCCTTCAATGACGTCTCACCCGCTGTCAACAGAGAGATCCCAGTAGAAGTAGAATGTCAGTATTCCTTTGACACTGAACGAAACTTATCAGCTGTTGATAAAATACAAAACATGTTAGGACTGAGTATGACAAGAGTTACATATATCATGAGATATGTTAAACACTTCATACTGCTTATTAAATCGAGACAGTTATATTCTAATTGAGATATATTTGTTTCAAAGAACGATCACATTTCCATATTTTGAGCAGTTTGGTATCCACAAGAAGTCCAAATATTCATAGTCTTAAGAAATATCAAATTAATTAATATAGACATCTAAAAGAATAATTTGGATAATAAGACGCTGCGATATAGACGTTGCACTGTACAATAATGCACATATACCCATAATGTACAAGAGGAACGATCGAGTTGAGTTAACAGTGACCGCCTGAAAGTTTCTGCATTGGGAATAGCTCTGGAATCTTAGTATCTATATATTTATAATCTGTATTATCTCTAAATGAAATTAACATGAAAAGAAATGTCGCGCTGATTTGCTCCACGAAACAAAAAAAAGATAAAAAAAAATCAAAAAAAATCACCCGTTTCCAAACCGCGAATAGACACTTTCGAAGTAGTTATATCACTTCGGCAAATACGTAAAGGAATTTTGATCGAAAACGAAACAGTCTTCGCTAATATATTTTAAGCTAATTTTAATTGGGTTATTATTATACAGTAGGTATTTCTTGTCTCTGTCGCCGGTGCAAACGGGTAGTTGAACTGTCTTTCTACTACTATTACGGTAGATGACCTCGTGACTAGCTCAGTCCTATAATCATGTTACCACGAGAGTGTTATACCGGGCGGGAAACCAGCAATATTGGGTTTGGCTTACTATAGATCTTATTCGCGCCCAACATAATGAAATTCGACACCTTTTACAACCCAAACGAGTATTCTGTCATTTCTTAAACTCCATATAATACATTTCTTCATTTGGAAGAACTAATGAGACGTGCGCTTTTCTCCGAGGAAACCTGTGAATGTGGGTTGTGTTATAAGGTGATTAATTCCGCGGTAGGTCGATTCTTTCCTCACCACTGATCCTCAGACATGACAAGCTGGCGTTCAGCAGGTGGAAAACAGACGGTCGAAATTGTTATTGATGTCTAAATATACCGAATATGGTTAATGCTAGGTATAAATTGTGCATGACGGAAAATGCCCAAACTCCGAGTGTGATAGTACATCTAGTATATTCTTTATGTACAGCTAGGATATAGAATACTTTTTTTTTATGATTTTATTTTCATTCCGATATCTTATGATACTGAAGCATTATTGAAAATTGTTTTCATATTTACGAAAATTATAATCCACAGTTTTATAACACGATTTCAATATATTACGTACGAAAGACTCAATAAACTGTGACGATCATTTCACGGCATACAGTATCTATAAGTTTCGCCCTTTTCGCCGAAAGAAATGAAGGAGACTTTTTCATCCGAGCGCAAATTAGTACCAAATGTATCATTCATAGTATAATATAGAAATTAGCATTTTACTGGAAAAGGCGAAATTTGACAGGAAGAACGTTTTTAGGGGTACATGTACCTTTTATAGAAATATTGCCAAAAAGGTAAATATTCATGCTTTCAATAAGGCGCTACTTTATTTTCCTTAAAAGCATATAAATACTAGACCCATGGTAATGTAACCATACAAGGAAATACTATTTCCATGTACTATACGTGTAATAGTTGTATTTGACGTTCTGTAGTTGCACCGGAGATAGAGCTTCCAAACAAACGGATAGGGCAGGAACCTGGACGAGAGACCATGTTGGAATGTATAATTACGGCCTTTCCCCAGGCCCTCAGTGTGTGGAAGAGACATGGAAAGGAAATAAAAGATACACATAAGCACAGACTAGAGGTGTACAACGAGGGAGATCACCGAATAACACTCAGCCTCAGAATCATGGACATCACCGCGGCTGATTACGGCAACTACACGTGCTACGCTTCCAATAAATTAGGAAACGACATAGAAAATATGTATATGTATGGTAGGTCTCAACATCTGTATTATTTGTGTGGAAATATGAAAATAAACAGTATGTATGTATATGTATGGTATGTCTGATCAACTATGTAGTGTAAAATACATATGTGTGGTTGATCTGACCAACTGTTATCTTATATGCGATATGATGGTAAGGATATTGCAGAAGGATCTTAAAAAATGAAAGGTTACAAGGAACGTATCTAGTGATTAACTACACACTTACAAAACATACCATGTGTATCTACCACAGGTCTGATTGGCTGTATACTATCACTAGAATGAATGGATAGTATTGTATAAAGGTTAGTTAACATAAAGATACACATTTCTTGGTGTATCAATAGCATCTGACATTCCATACACTTGTTCTGAATCTCACCTTCATGCACATTATTCACTTTTTCAGTAAATAGAAGCTGTATAATAACCAAAACTCGAATGCAATATTTGTATGTCTATAATCTCCATGCAAGTACAATCTACTGGACACTGTCCCCGAGTTTATCTTGCTTGAAATGTTATCTGGATATATAGGCAGAAGAATAAAACACAATTAATCTTATAAATTTGTAAATTGTCGTATTTTATATCAGATGGGTACCCAACCACGTACAGATATAGTAAGTTAATGGTTACAATAAGTAGCATAACTATAAAAGAATAGAAGTCGATTTAAAAATTCAAAATCTGTTTCATTAATTCAAAATCAAATGAATATATGAGAAGGATAATTCATGTAAAATTTCCAAAACTAAAATATTATTCAATTTACAACGTTGGTGGTTGAAAGTACAAATATGAATGCCAATTGTAAGATTGCACACTGTGAAGTTAATGTAGACTATCTGAAAATCTTCAAAACAGGAGAAAAAGTCACTCGTTTCTGTTTTCCGTAACACTCTACAATCCATTCATTTGAAAGTGAAATGTTTCTTTCCAATAGTGCGACTAAACAATATTTGTTTCTTTTATTTTTAAATACGTTACCGTGATGCGGTGATTTAAGCTTTTATATTTACATTTGCATGGCATTGTCACTATATAGCCTCTTTGAAAGCTGTGTCGTTGATGGGACTTTAATTACCATGCCGCACGAGACATAATTACCATGCCGCACGAGACACAATTCTTAGCGTATTAATTACAACACTGACCGGAACTACAATATCCAATGTAAATAAACATGACGGCTGCTGAAATATCGCTGAGCATTGTGAGATTTGATAATGTCATTGAAAATTTATCTGCAAAATAAAAAATGAAATAAAAAAAACACTTTTATTACAACGAAAACAAGACCAAGGTCTGCAATATCGTACAAAATGCACATCGATTGAAATCACCAATGCCGGCAATGGAAACAATTTTAACGCTCATGCAATTTATCAGAAATATCGTCTGTTACACTGCATTGATCAACAGGGGTTCGTTATAAATGTCTGAAATACACATATTCTATAGACCTACTGACACATATGTTACAGACCTACTGATATGAGTCACAGCACACATAAACATTCGTCATTTCAGACATTTGTTACGAACCTGTGCTCCGTCTCAAGATCACTCCCTTCAAACGCTATCAGTTTCACGCGTCTCGGATCCACGGTTCCTCAGTTTCAGACGACATGTCAAATAACGATGCTGTTATAGAATCTACCGACTGTTGTCGGGTTCCCATACAATCAACAAATACATTCACGCCTGGATTCTTCACAAAATGAGCAAAGAGAAAAGTTCGAATTAACTTCCAAAAATAACTCCCTCGTGGAGGTCAAGGTCCCATTCACGGTGTTCACTGTATTTATCCATGCGCGAAATTTGTTCCGGGGGAAAATCGAAACAATTTCAAATCTAACTTTCAGCTCAGATTTCTATTGAAAAACTGGAATCACCCAATAGACATATCATACGCAATTGTATTGATACTAAATTGTGGAATAAATTTGAAGTGTTTGTTAAAATGTCAAAGTACTACTTTGTTTGCCAATCAACACGCGACAATACGCTGTTCAAACTATTGAACGAAATTGTGTGGACTGTCGATAAGGCGGGCATTTTTAATTTTAATTATAAATGATAAGTTAAAAAAGAACATAAGAGGCAGAGAAAACGTTAATATAAGTATTGAACTGTTTTTGTATGGTATTTATGATCTATTTGAATGGCACAGCTTTGCAAGCAAACAACATAATGCGCGCTAGCAGTTCAATGCTCAAGTAATGGTCTGAATTATGACATATTTCATATTTACATGTAGCTATACAAATATAAAAGGTTGATACCGGTAAGCAACATTTGTGTTTTGGACATCATGTGCCAAGTTGTTGTCTTACTAAAAATACATCTTTGGTTTGTAGATATAAACTCTCTTAAATAATATTCCTTGAAATGTGGGATTTGATGATGGATATATGTTTATGGAATATTGCTTTACATCTATGTGTATAACTGAATGTTTCAGATCACAAAAAAACCCTGAGAACTACGACTCCGTATCCAATGACGACACCACGAAGGGTTACGACTGGGGATTACCGCTACATATCGGGTCACAACAATGGCGGCACCGTCATAGAAACACAAGGACCAAACCCGTCCGGAGCCGCTGGTAATGATAAAGACACTATACTTGCCGACAGCCCATGGAGTAGTGGAATTACATGTACAGGCAGTCTAATAGTTATCTGTACGTGGAACCGTTAAATAACGTCTAAAATATACATTAAAACAGCATGACGATCGGCCTTAAAAGTTTGGGTGAAGGTGTATTGAGCAAATGAGCTATAATCAAACGTTTCTTTACTTCCCTAAATAATGGTTATAGTGGTCAAACAATGTTCTATATCGACGAATATCGTTTGAGTAGATAGCACGACATCTCTTTTACTACTCGTTTGGTGGCGGAGTGTATGGTAGAATTGCATTTGACGTCAATTGTAATATGTTATGTAAGTGAGCATGCAAAGTAAGGACACAATAACTTATGAGTAATATGTTGATTAGAGGCGTAATTATTTACAATTACCTTTAGCATATGAATGATAAGGATAAAGACAACATTGCTATTTGCTAAAAGTACATAATATGATTTATTAGGCAAATGTTCTAATTACTTAAAGTAAACTATCATTTATCTTATTGCTATAAAGTCAGCATTCAGTATAGTTAAAAGAGGAGAGAGATCCTTTCTTTTTCAAAAAGAGATATTATTTTAATTAATACTTTTATAATTGAAAAATTCCAAACTTTAAAAGGCTTTCCTTTTGCAATTGGTTTTTTGTTTGAGTAATTTTGCTGTTAACACATGTGAGTGAGGTGACGTTAATGTATAATCTAGCAGTGTGCGAATTATGTGAAAACGCATCAAAGCTCATTGAAATTGTAATAAGAATATTGGAATAATCATAAAAAATCTCATGTGACGAAATAAACATATTCTTCAATAAACAGACCAAACAATATAATACACTAGTGTTTTGATAATTGTTCAGTTCCATTAAGAGTCAATACTTAGAGTTCAATCCATGTCCCCTAAACACGAAATCCTTGATTCGCCAATGACAAGATTGTCATACATAATATTCATCAATGCAGAAGATAGAAAAAGAAGTATAAACGACGGACTCAACCCTACAACATAAAAAATAGCATTTAACATTTCATGTCGAAACTGAAGGTTCCATAAAACTGCCGTCACTTTTCATGCAAAAGTTATTTTTTGTACATTCGAGAACGATCACAATGTGTTGGAATGCCCGAAACCTATTTCCGCTAACGAAACAGTCGAAGGCATGCTTGTATACATGTACATATACTTAGAACCATTATACATCTACATATACTTAGAACCATTATACATGAAGGACTGGAATTGGCGAAGTATCCAAGCAGTTTGGGACTGTAATTGATGGAATATATCTTTTTGATTTCAGATACAGTTTTTCCTTTTGGTTTCGGGTTGTAATATAATTTAACTTTTTGTAAGGCATGAAATATGTTTATGTGTTCGGAACTGATGCATATCCCTTTGAGTTCATGGTGCAACTAATTTGTTTCAAGATATTTTGAAACTAACGTTTTGTGAAATGAAACACCTCGATGTTAAATCTCACACATATGCTATATGAATATGAGTGATGCATGCAACTTATTTACTATCTTCTTTTTTCACTTTTTTCATGAGCTCAATGCAACATTGTGTTGCAACGGATAACAATGCAGCAGAACGTGCGCATACACTATTTGATAAACTACCGAAATTACATTAAATATCAGCTCAAATATGTCATCCAAAACAATTCGTTCCATATCAATCATTTTTGATAGGTACTAGATATTCAGGCAAAGTATACTAATCCGGAGGCAACCTATCACAAAGGCAATGGCTAATTTGACATTAGTATAATTGTTGTAATTAGCGCGTTTAACGCTGCAACCGGTACGATGAAAGTTTTGACAAAAATATAAATAATTCTTGACTATGTTGCATTGTAAAACTTACACGTGAAATTACAAAGAAAAACCATGAATTATTTTAAACACAACGCAAATAGTTTTATGTTAACGTAATCCGTCGTTCTATCTGTTTTTCAGGCGAAGGACCCATGCAAGGCAGGTCGATGGAAAATCATGCTGTAAAAACTATAGAGTACGCATCCTTACCTGTGCTCCTGTGCTGTGCAATAATATTGAACAGGTTAACATCTTAGCAGGATGCCTTAAAGTTGAAGGATAAAAACCCGATATACACCAGAATAACTAACCACTTGCAATGTTCAAACGGATATCTCTACTGTAACGATTCATGACGGATCTACATTGGATTTTTTTGAAGATCACGCTTTATGGAAACAGCGATACAGGCTGACTTGTGGAGGAGGAATCTGTGTAAAACACAGACCAACATACGTACATGTATGATGCATGTCTTATTAGTGATGTAGTTAGCTGTACAGAATGGGCGAACTGCAGCAAAGAGCGGAAAATGTACGTACTGAGCAGTATGGAAAATCATATACTAGGTGTATAAGAGTCTGTCAAAGATTGTATTTGTCTCTTGGTGTTAACTTCTAGTAGACGGATGATTGATATAAAAGACAGTTTCTAGTTTGTGTAAAAAATACAATGCCAAAAATTTATGCGTTTCTACCTGAAAGTTTGTTTTTAATTTATCACTAGCATACGAAACTGTGTATGTTAACAAGCTATCACAGTATAAAATTAACTATGGATCACCAATATTATTTTACTCAGTGGCCTATATCTAAACAAACTCGTGAAACAAACAAACCACATTAATATACCGGTACCTCTTTCATGCTCTAAAACTACTGCATATCGTTCGTTCTATATATTAGCGGAATATATAACCAGAACATAGTGCAAGATCATGCAGAATGCGATTATAAAATCATTATAGCATGTAAGTTAAAATATCGGTGTAGCCAAATATTGTAAAAAAGCATGTGTTGATGTATTTTAATCTACAAAATGACAATGATTCCATAAAAACAACATTTACCGTAGACGTATTGAAATGGACGTTATGCAATCTTAGATTTCATGTAACCTTATATATAAGACACATTTTAGATTTCACTAAATGATCAAATAACGCATTAAAAACCTCAATCTACGTAACTACATCTGTTTAGTATTCATTCTTTTATTCGTCCGTCCTATCCCTGGCTTATTTGATGAATAAATATAAAATGTACAGCAGCGTCAACCCAGGAGAAATAGAGTATTCGGGGATGTCGATAACGATAGCGTAAAAGACAGCGAAAAACAGATTTGTTTTAGACGTCGAACAAGGTTAAATAGAGATAACTTGTATTTGGTAGCGTCGATAACGGCCAAGTATGTATCTAAATGATCGGATAGCTTCAATAGCGAGTATCAAATAATATACATGGCAAGTTTGAGGCTTTATTCGACAGCGTAAAAGACAGTAAAACATATATTAGTATTCGAAAGCATCAAAGATGGTGAAATAGACATCCTGTAGTACTTGACAGCGTCAATAACGATGTGTTAGATCTATTCAAGCATTCTAAAGGACGAATAACTGTAAAAACAAATATATTCGTATTCGATATTGTTATGTTCAAACGGAGAAATACATATCTACTTGTATTCGACAGCGTCAAAGATGGTAAGATAGTGATATTGTAGAACATGACAGCGTCAGTAGCGGTGTGTAAGGATAATTGTTAAATCGAAGTAAAGTCGTACTCGATAGTGTTACTAACGGAGGAATAAATATCTACCTATATTTAAGAAAGATGATGAGCTATACTAAAGGTAAAAAACATGTCGTTTTAACAACCCAGTTAGACTTACAACATATGTGCTTTGGTGACAATATTTCATTGGTAATATTATCAACCGTACTTTGATAATTTAGTTTTCACGAGAATATTAGCTATTTTAAATTTCTAATGCTTTGTTTTATATGATTGGGTGAAGCGAAAGTACATTCGGTATGTGTTCGTGTGAATGTGTCAACATTGTATGAAACAATGTCAAATAGCTTCCAGTGTAATTAAATAGGCATTGATAATCATACTGTAACATAATTCTTCATCTCATTATGGTTTATTACAAATATACATTTATGTAGGATTATATGTTTGTCTTTAATTGTTGTTTATCGTATTCTTATTTTGCTCCACTTCCATGTCAATTAATGACATTCTAAATGATTTTATTATGTTGTTACTTTCTTGTAATTGTTGCAGATATAAGCTGTTAGATCACCATGCGGGGAATTATGTTTTCAATATGGAAGAATCATTGGTCTATTGTCAAGTTTTGCATTGCAAACATTTACATATGTTTTTATGTATGAATACAGATTAGGAATTTGTTGTTAAGTAGGACACAACAATTGTTTACCAAACCCATTGATGCTTGTGCACTTACATAGCTGTTCTGCACTTCTTGAGTAATGTACAAAATGTTGTTGTTATTGTAAACTCATTACCCGTGTATATACTCATTGTACCTACATACCATTGCATATGTATTGTGGATAGGTTCGCTTAAGTTCACTAACGAACATAACTACTTGCTGTGAATGTGACGAATACGTGTTCAGAATAAATGGTGTGTGTTAATAGACCATCACTATCCGTTGTATCAGTCATGGTTACCAACTCAGAGTTGGTTTATCGTAGTTTAACATGGTGCAAAATCATCGATAATAGCATTGATGTGTCTATGTTATAATAAATTTGGTCTAATTGTATACTTTGCAAAACGCAATACGTGTTTTATGAAGACTTTACGTTATGTTATTAATATATTGATATAAGAATAAATCATCCATTATTTGGCATGTGCAAAAACACCGAAGAGTATTGAAAATATGTAAAACTATCTGCAATCAAATAGGCAAACTGTCCCTGCAAATAATAGGTAACGTTGCTGTATACATAATAGGCATATTGTGTTTACAGATTATAAGGATACACATTGTATCTGTACAAATGATAACTATTATCTCGGTTCAAATGATAGGGAAATTATAGGCATATTGTCTGTTCAATTATAAGTCAAATTACCTGTACAATTACTGTATAGAAATGGTTTCTGTATAAATGATTAACATACTTACTTGACAAATGATAAGCATATTATCTACACAATTAATATGCATATAATGGACACGCTGTCTGCACGAGTAATAGGCATATTGCTGATGCATATAATAGGGACACTGTTTGTACAGACTTCTGTCGGTACACATTATAGACATGTTGTCTGTACAGATAACGATGTACAATCTGTATAATTTATTGGTATGATGTCGGTAAAATTAACTAGTGAGTGCTGTTTCAAATGAGTAGATCAGTTCATTTTATGACAAGAGTGATACTCTTTACCTAGTATTAAAGTAAAGAATGGTACACAATTTATAACCAGTGGTAACCTACTCGAATTGGGTGGTATACCGTTCTAGCTAGATATTTACTGGTTATAACAAGAGGTATACTACTTTAATAAGTGGTATTTTGATTAAAAATAGTGGAAATATGTTTGTAACGAGTGGAATATTCTATATAAGAAGTGGTTGTAAAATATGCAAAATATTTACCACTCTTGTAAATCAATGTTCATGGCTGATCATCTGTGTGGCTTGGTTTAATAAAACAAGCTAGATCTATTATGCGTCATGAAATCGACTTTAATAGTACGATACTATTCAACAGGAGTGGGATAATTTATCAGCAATATTACTGTTTTTTTTTATATATTTTTTCATTCAAAGATTTCGATGATGATGACGGATTTGAATTTATGTGAAACTGTAAACAATTTTCATTACAATACCCCGCATTATTACTCAATTTACGACAGGGTGAACTGCAATGTTTTGTAAATGCATCGTTATGTGTATAACTATTTATGAACAAGTCTTCAAAACACTGTCTCATGGCTATCATTATATATACATTATATTCTCTTTCAGCAGATAAGCGCACACCAAAGAATCACTGTAGATAATATTGTGACGTCTGACATGACGTCATACACATAGTAAACACACTGGATTTTGTTGTCAGTCATTTGCTGTGCTGAGTGAACAAAACATGTATGTACATTCCTTTGCATGTGACATTGAATGAAACATCTTAACTATTTCATAATAAAAAAAAAATATTAATTGAATGTGTGTTGTTGTATTAAGAACCGTGTTAATTTTTCAAGAACAAACACGGTACACAAATTAAACACTTACGGACATGTCTGCCACCAATAACATGTTATTTACATATGTGTGGACAGGAGGCCAGGTCACGTTTTACAGAACACCCAATACTCGTAATGTATTGCACAAATCTAGATACGCGTAACTATAAATACTTACACTATCAGGGACATCTTGATAAATGTTACAAATAAGGTAATGCTGTGTTCACCTTACTAAAAACATAAATCTATGTTCACGTCATTTAATACTAAAATCTTAATAGGCGCCACATTAACAACGCTATGTAGATGCCCGCTACATGTAACAGAAATCGAGATGGATTGTAATTATTTCAGAAATTTAATTACACGCCATGTATCGCACAAGGCTAGGAACACAACATACATGGCATTGGAGGCTAGGAAGTACCCTACTTAAAACAAGTAACATCCTCCAACAACCGACTCTACACTATACAAAGGGAAGTAAATACTCCATTTTTACGTGTATGTATAGCTGCTATTTCCTGTACTCGACATACTTGATACAGGTACAAAGTAGACCCTCCCCCTTCTATGGAATTGTTAAAATGCATGTGTATAATAGTCACTTGTACGGTACAGTGTAGTTCTGTTATCTCCATCACCATCTCATAAAAGTATTTGTTAAACAATATCCCAGATTTCCCTCAAACCCATATTCAAATCAAAACATAATGTTACCCATCGGATAAAATATTTATGTCTTTCTCCAACGAAGATTAGGTAGAAGCATATATGTAGGCTATACCATAGCTTCAATACACAAAAACGAAAACCTAACGAAAAATCAATACGAAAAGACTATGTCAGGAGGTTTTCTTATCCGGAGACTTGCCTTTCATTTAATGAATGCACAGTTATACCTAATTAGAATACCATAGGTAATCATCGCGACAAAGGTTAACAATACAAGAGAGTCAGCTATTAAAACATCACAGTATAAATTTGGTATGAAGATGTTTGACTCAAGGAACGATTACATAATGAAACAAAACGGAAAGAAAGGTATACACGGTGAAAGATAGCACAACAAACTCTGTGAACAGTAACACAGTGAATGATAACACCGTGAGAGGGAACAATGAAGGATAACCCCCCGAAAGGTTACAAAGTGAACAATATCACAGTAAAGGTTAATCCCGTGAAAGGAACAAAGTGAACAGTATCATAGTGAAGGATAATCCAGTGAACGGTAACGATGAAGGATAACCCCCCAAAAGGTTACAAAGTGAACAATATCACAGTGAAGGATAACCCCGTGAAAGGTTACAAAGTGAACGGTATTACAGTGCAGGAAAAACCCGTGAAAGGTAACAAAGTGAACAGTAGCATAGTGAAGGATAACCCCGTGAAAGGTAACAAAGTGAACAGTATCACAGTAAAGGATAACCCCGTGAAAGGTTACAAAATGAACGGTATTACAGTGCAGGAAAAACCCGTGAAAGGTAACAAAGTGAACAGTAGCATAGTGAAGGATAACCCCGTGAAAGGTAACAAAGTGAACAGTATCACAGTAAAGGATAACCCCGTGAAAGGTTACAAAATGAACGGTATTACAGTGCAGGAAAAACCCGTGAAAGGTAACAAAGTGAACAGTAGCATAGTGAAGGTTAACCCCGTGAAAGGTAACAAAGTGAACAGTATCACAGTGAAGGATAACCCCGGGAAAGGTTACAAAGTGAACAATATCACAGTGAATGATAATCCCGTGAAAGGTAACAAAGTGAACAGTATCACAGTAAAGGATAACCCCGTGAAAGGTTACAAAATGAACGGTATTACAGTGAAGGAAAAACCCGTGAAAGGTAACAAAGTGAACAGTAGCATAGTGAAGGATAACCCCGTGAAAGGTAACAAAGTGAACAGTATCACAGTAAAGGATAACCCCGTGAAAGGTTACAAAATGAACGGTATTACAGTGAAGGAAAAACCCGTGAAAGGTAACAAAGTGAACAGTAGCATAGTGAAGGATAACCCCGTGAAAGGTAACAAAGTGAACAGTATCACAGTAAAGGATAACCCCGTGAAAGGTTACAAAATGAACGGTATTACAGTGCAGGAAAAACCCGTGAAAGGTAACAAAGTGAACAGTAGCATAGTGAAGGTTAACCCCGTGAAAGGTAACAAAGTGAACAGTATCACAGTGAAGGAAAACCCCGGGAAAGGTTACAAAGTGAACAATATCACAGTGAATGATAATCCCGTGAAAGGTAACAAAGTGAACAGTATCACAGTAAAGGATAACCCCGTGAAAGGTTACAAAATGAACGGTATTACAGTGAAGGAAAAACCCGTGAAAGGTAACAAAGTGAACAGTAGCATAGTGAAGGATAACCCCGTGAAAGGTAACAAAGTGAACAGTATCACAGTAAAGGATAACCCCGTGAAAAATTACAAAATGAACGGTATTACAGTGCAGGAAAAACCCGTGAAAGGTAACAAAGCGAACAGTAGCATAGTGAAGGTTAACCCCGTGAAAGGTAACAAAGTGAACAGTATCACAGTGAAGGAAAACCCCGGGAAAGGTTACAAAGTGAACAATATCACAGTGAATGATAATCCCGTGAAAGGTAACAAATAGACCAGTTTCACAGTGAAGGATAACTCTGTTAAAGGTAACATAATGAACAGTATCAAAATGAAGGATAACCCCGTGAAAGGTAACAAATAGACCAGTATCATAGTATGGGTAAAACAACCCGTGAAAGGTAAAAAATTAAACAGTATCACAGTGAAGGATAATCCCCTGAAAGGGAAAAAAGTGAATAATGATGTGAAGGATAACCCCGTAAAATATAACAAAGTGGACAGTATCACATTGAAGGATAACCTTGTAAAAGGTAACATATTGAACGGTATCAATGTGATGGATAACCCCGTGAAAAGTAACAAATAGACCAGTATCATAGTGAATGATAACCCCGTGAAAGGTTACAAAATGAACAGTATCACAGTGAAGATAAACCCCGTGAAAGGTAACAAAGTGAACAGTATCATAGTGAAGAATAACCCCTTGAAATGGAATAATGTGAACAGTATCACAGTGAAGGATAACCCTGTAAAAGGTAACAAAGTGAACAGTATCACAGTGAAGGATAACCCCGTGAAAGGTAACAAAATGAACAGTATCACAGTGAACGATAATCCTGTGAAAGGAAAAAAAGTGAATAATGAAATAAAGGATACCCCCGTAAAATATAACAAAGTGAACAGTATCACAATGAAGGATAACCCCGTGAAAGGTAATAAAGTGAACAGTATCACAGTGAAGGATAATCCCGTGAAAGGAAAAAAGTGAATAGTGAAATGAAGAATAACCCCGTGAAATATAACAAAGAGAACAGTATCAAAGTGAAGGATAACCCCGTGAAAGTGAATTAAGTGAACAGTATGATAGTGAAGATAATCCCCGTGAAAGGTAACAAAGTGAACAGTATTACAGTGAAGGATAATCCCGTGAAAGGAAAAAAGTGAATAGTGAAATGAAGAATAACCCCGTGAAATATAACAAAGAGAACAGTATCAAAGTGAAGGATAACCCCCTGAAAAGTAACAAATAGATCAGTTTCATAGTGAATGATAACCCCGTGAAAGGTAACAAAATGAACAGTATCACAGTGAAAATAAACCCCGTGAAAGGTAACAAAATGAACAGTAACACAGTGAAGGATAACCCCGTGAAAGGTAGCAAATTGACCAGTATCACAGTGAAGGATAATCCCGTGAAAGGAAAAAAGTGAATAGTGAAATGAAGGATAACCCCGTTACATGTAACAAAATGAACAGTATCACAGTGAAGGATAACCCCTTGAAAGGTAACAAAGTGAACAGTATCACAGTAAAGGATAACCCCGTGAAATGGAACAAAGTGAACAGTATCACAATGAAGAATAACCCGTGAAAGGTAACAAAGTAAACAGTAGCATAGTGAAGGATAATCCCCTGAAAGGGAGAAAAGTGAATAATGAAGTGAAGGATAACCCCGTAAAATATAACAAAATGAACAGTATCAAAGTGAAGGATAACCCCCTGAAAAGTAACAAATAGATCAGTTTCATAGTGAATGATAACCCCGTGACATGTAACAAAGCGAACAGTATCACAGTGAAGGATAATCCTGTGAAAGGAAAAAAAAGTGAATAATGAAATAAAGGATACCCCCGTAAAATATAACAAAATGAACAGTATCAAAGGGAAGGATAACCCTGTAAAAGGTAACATATTGAACAGTATCAAAGTGAAGGATAACCCCCTGAAAAGTAACAAATAGATCAGTTTCATAGTGAATGATAACCCCGTGACATGTAACAAAGCGAACAGTATCACAGTGAAGGATAATCCCGTGAAAGGAAAAAAGTGAATAGTGAAATGAAGGATAACCCCGTTACATGTAACAAAATGAACAGTATCACAGTGAAGGATAATCCCGTGAAAGGAAAAAAGTGAATAGTGAAATGAAGGATAACCCCGTGAAATATAACAAAGAGAACAGTATCAAAGTGAAGGATAACCCTGTAAAAGGTAACAAAGTGAACAGTATCACAGTAAAGGATAACCCCGTGAAAGGTTACAAAATGAACAGTATCGCAGTGAAGATAAACCCCGTGAAAGGTAACAAAGTGAACAGTAACACAGTGAAGGATAACCCCGTGAAATGGAATAATGTGAACAGTATCACAGTGAAGGATAACCCCGTGAAAAGTAACAAATAGACCAGTTTCATAGTGAATGATAACCCCGTGAAAGGTTACAAAATGAACAGTATCACAATGAAGATAAACCCCGTGAAAGGTAACAAAATGAACAGTAACACAGTGAAGGATACCCCCGTGAAATGGAATAATGTGAACAGTATCACAGTGAAGGAAAACCCCGTGAAAAGATAGCATTATGAACAGTATCAAGGTGAAGGATAACCCCGTGAAAGGGAGCAAATAGACCAGTATCACAGTGTAGAATAATCCCGTGAAAGGAAAAAAAGTGAATAGTTAAATGAAGGATAACCCCGTGAAAGGGAGCAAATAGACCAGTATCACAGTGAAGGATAACCATGTAAAAGATAGCATAATGAACAGGATCAAAGTGAAGGATAACCCCCTGAAAAGTAACAAATAGACCAGTATCATAGTGAATGATAACCCCTTGACAGGTAACAAAGCGAACATTATCACAGTGAAGGATAACCCTGTTAAAGGTAACATAATGAACAGTTTCAAAGTGAAGGATAACCCCGTGAAAAGTAAAAAATAGACCAGTATCATAGTGAATGATAACCCAATAAAAGGTTACATAATGAACAGTATCACAGTGAAGGATATCCCTGTTAAAGGTAACATAATGAACAGTTTCAAGTGAAGGATAACCCCGTAAAATGGAATAATGTGAACAGTATCACAGTGAAGGATATCCCTGTTAAAGGTAACATAATGAACAGTTTCAAAGTGAAGGATAACCCCGTGGCAGGTCACAAATCGAACAGTATCACTGTGAAGGATAACCCTGTAAAAGATAGCATTATGAACAGTATCAAGGTGAAGGATAACCCCGTGAAAGGTAGCAAAGTGAACAGTATCACAGTGAAAGATAATCCTGTGAAAGGAAAAAAAGTGAATAGTGAAATGCAGGAGAACCCCGTGAAATATAACAAAGTGAACCATATCAAAGTGAAGGATAACCCCGCGAAAGGTAACAAATAGACCAGTATCATAGTAAGGGTAAAACAACCCGTGAAAGGTAAAAAAAAAGAACAGTATTACAGTGATAGATAATCCCGTGAAAGAAACAAAGTGAACAGTATCACAGTGAATGATAACCCTGTAAAAGGTAACAAAGTGAACAGTATCACAGTGAAGGATATCCCTGTTAAAGGTAACATAATGAACAGTTTCAAAGTGAAGGATAACCCCGTGGCAGGTCACAAATCGAACAGTATCACTGTGAAGGATAACCCTGTAAAAGGTAACATATTGAACGGTATCAATGTGATGGATAACCCCGTGAAAAGTAACAAATAGACCAGTATCATAGTGAATAATAACCCCGTGAAAGGTTACATAATGAACAGTATCACAGCGAAGGATAACCCCGTGAAAGGGAGCAAATAGACCAGTATCACAGTGTAGGATAATCCCGTGAAAGGAAAAAAAGTGAATAATGAAATGAAGGATACCCCCGTAAAATATAACAAAGTGGACAGTATCACATTGAAGGATAACCTTGTAAAAGGTAACATATTGAACGGTATCAATGTGATGGATAACCCCGTGAAAAGTAAAAAATAGACCAGTATCATAGTGAATAATAACCCCGTGAAAGGTTACATAATGAACAGCATCACAGTGAAGGATAACCCCGTGAAATATAACAAAGTGAACACTATCAAAGTGAAGGATAACCCTGTAAAAGGTAACAAATAGACCAGCATCATAGTGAATGATAACCCCGTGAAAGGTTACATAATGAACAGTATCACAGCGAAGGATAACCCCGTGAAAGGAACAAAGTGAACAGTATCACAATGAAGATAAACCCCGTGAAAGGTAACAAAATGAACAGTAACACAGTGAAGGATAAACCCGTGAAAGGTAGCAAATAGACCAGTATCATAGTGGTATCAATGTGATGGATAACCCCGTGAAAAGTAAAAAATAGACCAGTATCATAGTGAATGATAACCCAATAAAAGGTTACATAATGAACAGTATCACAGCGAAGGATAACCCCGTGAAAGGTAGCAAATAGACCAGTATCACAGTGTAGGATAATCCCGTGAAAGGAAAAAAAGTGAATAGTGAAATGAAGGATAACCCCGTGAAATATAACAAAGTGAACACTATCAAAGTGAAGGATAACCCTGTAAAAGGTAACAAATAGACCAGCATCATAGTGAATGATAACCCCGTGAAAGGTAACAAAGTGAACAGTATCACAGTGAAGGATAACCCCGTGAAAGGTAATAAAGTGAACAGTATCACAGTGAAGGATAACCCCTTGAAAGGTAACAAAGTGAACAGTATCACAGTGAAGGATAACCCCTTGAAAGGTAACAAAGTGAACAGTATCACAGTGAAGGATAACCCCTTGAAAGGTAACAAAGTGAACGTACAAAGTGAACAGTATGATAATGAAGAATAACCCCGTGAAAGGTAGCAAAGTGAACAGTATCACAGTGAATGATAACCCTGTAAAAGGTAACAAAGTGAACGGTATCAAAGTGAAGGATAACCCCCTGAAAAGTAACAAATAGACCAGTTTCATAGTGAACGATAACCCCGTGACATGTAACAAAGCGAACAGTATTACAGTGAAGGATAATCCCGTGAAATGGAACAAAGTGAACAGTATCACAATGAAGGATAAACCCGTGAAAGGTAACAAAGTGAACAGTATCACAGTGAAGGAAAACCCCGTGAAAGGTAACAAAGTGAAATATATCACAGTGAAGTATAATCCCATGAATGGGTACAAAGTGAACAGTATGATAATGAAGAATAACCCCGTGAAAGGTAGCAAAGTGAACAGTATCACAGTGAATGATAACCCTGTAAAAGGTAACAAAGTGAACAGTATCAAAGTGAAGGATAACCCCGTGAAAAGTAACAAATAGACCAGTTTCATAGTGAATGATAACCCCGTGACATGTAACAAAGCGAACAGTATTACAGTGAGGGATAATCCCGTGAAATGGAACAAAGTGAACAGTATCACAATGAAGGATAAACCCGTGAAAGGTAACAAAGTGAACAGTATCACTAAAAGCAATTGACAATGTGACATGTAACAAAGCGAACAGTATTACAGTGAGTAACCCTGTTAAAGGTAACATAATGAACAGTATCAAAGTGAAATAATCCCGTGAAAGGAAAAAAAGTGAATAATGAAATGAAGGATAACCCCGTAAAATATAGCAAAGTGAACAGTATCACAGTGAAGGATAACCCTGTAAAAGATAGCATTATGAACAGTATCAAAGTGAAGGATAGCCCCGTGAAAGGTAGCAAATAGACCAGTATCATAGTAAGGGTAAAACAACCCGTGGAAGGTAAAAAATTGAAGAGTATTACAGTGAAAGATAATCCCGTGAAAGGAACAGAGTGAATAATGAAATGAAGGATAACCTCGTAAAATATAACAAAGTGAACAGTATCACAATGAGGGATAACCCCGTTACAGGTAACAAAGTGAACAGTATCACAGTAAAGGATAATCCCGTGAAAGGAAAAAAAGTGAATAATGAAATGAAGGATAACCCCGTAAAATATAACAAAGTGAACAGTATCACAGTGAAGGATAACCCTGTAAAAGGTAACAAAGTGAACAGTATCACAGTGAAGGATAATCCCGTGAAAGGGAAAAAGTGAATAATGAAATGAAGGATAACCGCGTAAAATTTAACAAAGTGAATAGTATCACAGTGAAGGATAACCCTGTAAAAGGTAACATATTGAACAGTATCAAAGTGAAGGATAACCCCGTGAAACGATACAAATAGACCAGTATGATAGTGAAGATAAACCCCGTGAAAGGTAACAAAGTGAACTACTCATAGTGAAGAATAACCTCGTGAAGGGAAAAAAGCGAACAATATCACAGTGAAGGATAACCCCGTGAAAGGTAATAAAGTGAACAGTATCACAGTGAAGGATAACCCCGTGAAAGGTAACAAAGTGAACAGTATCACAGTGAAGGATAACCCCTTGAAAGGTAACAAAGTGAACAGTATCAAAGTGAAGGAAAACCCCGTGAAAGGTAACAAAGTGAAATATATCACAGTGAAGAATAATATCATGAAAGGGAACAAAGTGAACAGTATGATAATGAAGAATAACCCCGTGAAAGGTAGCAAAGTGAAGAGTATCACAGTGAAGATAAACCTCGTGAAAGGAACAAAGTGAACAGTATCACAATTACGGATAATCCCGTGAAAGAGAAAAAAGGTGAATAATGAAATGAAGGATAACCCCGTAATATATAACAAAGTGAACAGTATCACAGTGAAGGATATCCCTGTTAAAGGTAACATAATTAACAGTATCAAAGTGAAGGATAACCCCGTGAAAGGTAGCAAATAGACCAGTATCATAGTGAATGATTACCCCCTGACAGGTAACAAAGCGAACAATATCACAGTGAAGGATAACCCTGTTAAAGGATACATAATGAACAGTATCAAAATGAAGGATAACCCCGTGAAAGGTAGCAAATAGACCAGTATCATAGTAAGGGTAAAACAACCCGTGGAAGGTAAAAAATTGAAGAGTATTACAATGAAGGATAATCCCGTGAAAGGAACAGAGTGAATAATGAAATGAAGGATAACCGCGTAAATTATAACAAAGCGAACAGTATCACAGTGAAGGATAACCCCGTGAAAGGAACAAAGTGAACAGTATCACAATGAGGGATAATCCCGTGAAAGAGAAAAAAGTGAATAATGAAATGAAGGATAACCCCGTAAAATATAACAAAATAAACAGTATCACAGTGAACCCGTGAAAGGTTATAAAGTGAACAATATCACAGTGAAGATAAACCCCGTGAAAGGTAACAAAGTGAACAGTATCACAGTGAAGGATAACCCCGTGAAAGGTAACAAAGTGAACAGTATCACAGTGAAGGATAATCCCGTGAAATGGAAAAAAGTGAACAGTATCACAGTGAAGGAAAACCCCGTGAAAGGTAACAAAGTGAAATATATCACAGTGAAGAATAATATCATGAAAAGGAACAAAGTGAACAGTATGATATTGAAGAATAACCCCGTGAAAGGTAGCAAAGTGAACAGTATCACAGTGAAGATAAACCTTCGTGAAAGGAACAAAGTGAACAGCATCATAATGAAGGAAAATTCCGTGGCAGGTAACAAAGCGAACAGTTTCACAGTGAATGATAACCCTGTAAAAGGTAACAAAGTGAACAGTATCACTGTGAAGGATAACCCAGTGAAAAGTAACAAATAGACCAGTATCATAGTGAATGATAACCCCGTGACAGGTAACAAAGCGAACAGTATCACAGTAAGGGATAGCCCTGTTAAAGGTAACATAATGAACAGTATCAAAGTGAAGGAAAACCCCGTGAAAGGTAACAAATAGACCAGTATCATAGTGAAGGATAACCCTGTTAAAGGTTACATGATGAACAGTATCAATGTGAAGGATAAACCCGTGAAAGGTAGCAAATAGACCAGTATCATAGTGAATGATAACCCCTTGACAGGTAACAAAGCGAACATTATCACAGTGAAGGATAACCCTGTTAAAGGTTACATTATGAACAGTATCAAAATGAAGGATAACTCCGAGAAAGGTAGCAAAATAGACCAGTATCACAGTAAGGGTAAAACAACCCGTGGAAGGTAAAAAATTGAAGAGTATTACAGTGAAAGATAATCCCGTGAAAGGAACAGAGTGAATAATGAAATGAAGGATAACCCCGTATATTATAACAAAGTGAACGGTATCACAATGAGGGATAACCCCGTTACAGGACACAAAGTGAACAGTATCACAGTGAAGGATAACCCCGTAAATTATAACAAAGTGAACAGTATCACAATGAGGGATAACTCCGTTACAGGTAACAAAGTGAACAGTATCACAGTGAAGGATAATCCTGTGAAAGAAAAAAAGTGAATAATGAAATGAAGGATCCCCCCGTAAAATATAACAAAGTGAACAGTATCACAATGAGGGATAACCCGGTAAAAGATAACAAAGTGATCAGTATCACTGTGAAAAATAATCCCGTGAAAGCGAAAAAAGTGAATAAAATCACAGTGAAGGATAACCCCGTAAAATATAACAAAGTGAACAGTATCAAAGTGAAAGATAACCCCGTAAAAAGGAACAATTAGACCAGATTCATAGTGAATGATAACACGTGGCAGGTAACAAAGCGAACAGTATCACAGTGAAGGATAGCCCCGTGAAAGGAACAAAGTGAACAGTATCACAATGAGGGATAATCCCGTGAAAGAGAAAAAAGTGAATAATGAAATGAAGGATAACCCCGTAATATAAAACAAAGTAAACAGTATCACAGTGAAGGATAACCTTGTAAAAGGTAACACATTGAAAAGTATCAAAGTGAAGGATAACCCCGTGAAAAGTAACAAATAGACCAGTATCATAGTTAATGATTTCCTCGTGACAGGTAACAAAGCGATCAGTATCACAGTGAAGGATAACCCTGTTAAAGGTAACATAATGAACAGTACCGAAGTGAAGGATAACCCCGTGAAAGGTAACAAATAGACCAATATCATAGTGAAGGATAACCCCGTGAAAAGTAACAAATAGACCAGTATCATAGTTAATGATTTCCTAGTGACAGGTAACAAAGCGATCAGTATCACAGTGAAGGATAACCCTGCTAAAGGTAACATAATGAACAGTACCGAAGTGAAGGATAACCCCGTGCAAGGTAACAAATAGACCAGTATCATAGTAAGGGCAAAACAACCCGTGAAAGGTAAAAAAAAAGAACAGTATTACAGTGATAGATAATCCCGTGAAAGAAACAAAGTGAACAGTATCACAATAAGGGATAACCCCGTTACAGGTAACAAAGCGAACAGCATCACAGTGAAGGATAATCCCGTGGAAGGGAAAAAAGGGAATAATGAAAAGAAGGATAACCCCGTAAAATAAAACAAAGTGAACAGTATTACAGTGAATGATAACCTTGTAAAAGGTAACATATTGAACAGTATCAAAGTGAAGGATAACACCGTGAAAAGTAACAAATAGACCAGTATAATAGTGAATGATAACCCCGTGACAGGTAACAAAGCGAACAGTATCACAGTGAAGGATAACCCTGTTAAAGGTAACATAATGAACAGTATCAAAGTGAAGGATAACCCCGTGAAAGGTAACAAATAGACCAGTATCATAGTAAGGGTAAAACAGCCCGTGAAAGGTAAAAAATTGAACAGTATTACAGTGAAAGATAATTCCGTGAAAGAAACAAAGTGAACAGTATCACAATGAAAGATAATCCCGTTAAAGGTAACAAAGTTAACAGTATCACAGTGAAGGATAATCCCGTGAAAGGTGAAAAAGTGAATAATGAAATGAAGGATAACCCCGTAAAATATAACAAAGTGGACAGTATCATAGTGAAGGATAACCTATTAAAAGGTAACATATTGAACAGTATCAAAGTGAAGGATAACCCCGCGAAAAGCAACAAAATGAACAGTATCATAGTGAATGATAACGCCGTGACAGGTAACAAAGCGAACAGTATCACAGTGAAGGATAACCCTGTTAAAGGATACATAATGAACAGTATCAAAATGAAGGATAACCCCGTGAAAGGAAGCAAATAGACCAGTATCATAGTAAGGGTAAAACAACCCGTGGAAGGTAAAATATTGAAGAGTATTACAGTGAAAGATAATCCCGTGAAAGGAATAGAGTGAATAATGAAATGAAGGATAACCCCGTAAATTATAACAAAGTGAACAGTATCACAATGAGGGATAACCCCGTTACATGTAACAAAGTGAACAGTATCACAGTAAAGGATAATCCTGTGAAAGGAAAAAAAAGTGAATAATGAAATGAAGGATACCCCCGTAAAATATAAGAAAGTGAACAGTATCACAGTGAAGAATAACCCCGTGAAAGGTAACAAAGTGAACAATATCACAGTGAAGGATAACCCCGTGAAAGGTAACAAAGTGAACAGTATCACAGTGAAGGATAATCCCGTGAAATGAAAATAAGTGAACAGTATCACAGTGAAGGAAAACCCCGTGAAAGGTAACAAAGTGAAATATATCACAGTGAAGAATAATATCATGAAAAGGAACAAAGTGAACAGTATGATATTAAAGAATAACCCCGTGAAAGGTAGCAAAGTGAACAGTATCACAGTGAAGATAAACCTTTTGAAAGGAACAAAGTGAACAGTATCATAATGAAGGAAAATTCCGTGGCAGGTAACAAAGCGAACAGTTTCACAGTGAATGATAACCCTGTAAAAGGTAACAAAGTGAACAGTATCACTGTGAAAAATAATCCCGTGAAACCGAAAAAAGTAAATAAAATCACAGTGAATGATAACCATGTAAAAGATAACAAAGTGAACAGTATCAAAGTGAAGGATAACCCCGTGAAAAGTAACAAATAGACCAGTATCATAGTGAATGATAACCCCGTGACAGGTAACAAAGCGAACAGTATCACAGTAAGGGATATCCCTGTGAAAGGTAACATAATGAGCAGTATCAAAGTGAAGGAAAACCCCGTGAAAGGTAACAAATAGACCAATATCATAGTGAAGGATAACCCTGTTAAAGGTTACATGATGAACAGTATCAATTTGAAGGATAAACCCGTGAAAGGTAGCAAATAGACCAGTATCATAGTGAATGATAACCCCGTGACAGGTAACAAAGCGAAAATAACACAGTGAAGGATAACCCTGTTAAAGGTTACATAATGAACAGTATCAAAATGAAGGATAACCCCGAGAAAGGTAGCAAAATAGACCAGTATCACAGTAAGGGTAAAACAACCCGTGGAAGGTAAAAAAATTGAAGGGTATTACAGTGAAAGATAATCCCGTGAAAGGAACAGAGTGAATAA